GAGCTCACTTAACTAAGGACCGATCTTCAAACGGGCAAGAGCCTTTACCCATTTTCTGAGCAATGGTCAAAGAAACAGGTTTCAAACTATCCATATCTTCCACATAATTTAACGAAATTTGAGGAAGGAAAAATAAAGGAGGAAACAAAACGTCTAGCTCTAGAGGTCATGGCTACACAATCGATCCTTCAAATTTTCCCGTATTTTCGGAGAGTGGTAGAGGGCGATACTGAATGTGAGCGATCGCTTAAAAAACCCTTCCTCGTGATGCAAATCTAAAAATGGACAAAATATGGATCATAAAGAGGTCTGCGAAAAATTTATGTTAGTCAACACGAGTTTTCACAGCTAGGAGAAGTCGATTCTTGAGCTCTAGCCGCTAGCAAATGTCTGATTTCTTTCTCTTGCATCAATGTATGGGATAATCATTTAGTATTCCGCCATAAATTATCATAACTGAATTACCACTTCTTGGTGCATACGTAATTTTAGCAACACATCACAGCTAAAGTGCTGATCGGGTCGTATTTCTGTATATCAAATTTCGTTCCTTGTGTAATAAGAGGAATTATTATAGTTTCCTAGAGCACTTTGAGTGCGCAGAAGTTAATAAAGAATTCTCTGAGTCCTGCTCTTGACTTTATTATGCAATAAAGCCAAACGTAAAATTCAATTAATAAAACAAGATCTACTTGTGCATTTATGATTCTTATAAGCTTTTTCAATTTTGAATTTTTACCAATAAGTCGTGTACTTCACAATTCTAGTTAGGATGCAAGGTACCGTTCGATAAAGCAATGCAAGCTCCATGAAATTCCATGTAAAAGTTGGCACCAGCTTTGGTACAACTCGAGTTACAAGCCGAAATCTAAGAAGTTTTGGATGCACGAAAAATTGAAAAGAATTTTTATCTCCGTTCAAGGTTTGAAGTTTCATTGCAGCAAAGAAAAGGAAAATAATGCTATTTGGTACTTCCATGTGAGCGTAATTCAATCTAATTTCGAGACTAAAATAGGAGTGGAAACCTCCGATAGTTTGGAAACGCAAAATAGCATTATAGAAAAATTAGTGCAGGCATGTGGACACTAAGAACTAGAAAAGAAATAGAAAAAAAGCAAGGAACTTTCGTCCCAGTACTATGTGCGTATGTAGGTTATAAGACCGCTCACTCGAAAATTCTGGTCCTATGCTTTTTACGATCAAAAACAGAAGAGAATTAAAAATGAGATTGGATTCTTTGTTTCAATTGTCTATGAGGCTTCGCATGATGAAGAGGTAATCAAGGTAAGATAGCGAAGAAGCAAATACTACGTAACACATAAAGAGTGCTCTCCTACGCAAAATTTCAAAGAGAGAGAAGAATGTTTCAATCAAACTGAAACATTTTTGAAAATTGTTGTGTTTCCTTTCATTTGGAGGACAGAGTCTATAATCTAAATTAATTCAGTCCTTGCAGCGCGCTAGCGGAGGAAGCTGCTCGTTACGCCTTTTCACAGATCAGAATTGAGGAACAATTCTGGGATGTCTATTAACAAGCTTTCTTATTGAAAAAGATCTTGCAGTTTAGGTACTGAAAGAATTACGGCCGACCGTCAAAAAAAATTCCTCCAATATCGATTTAACCAGGGCTCGGCACAGGTGGCTTATAAGCAAGATGGAAATAGTTTCTGAGACAAAAAAGGGAGTTTCGTTTTTGTGGCTTAAAATACACAAAATTTGCGACGTTTTTTGGTCAACGTTTCGTATCTTGGAGATATTTTTAGGGATTATGGTCAAGGGTCAAAAGAGACTTCGTAGAAATTCGCAAAAGTCAAGAGGGACTTTGTTCTGCATTTTCAAACCGCTTCGTGCCGAGCTTTAGATTTAACAGTAACGTGGTATGACTGACGGTAAAAACTTCTTGCAAGGACTACTTAGTCGGTTTTCCAATTGGATGAGAAAGATTCTGAAAAATGTTTAGGCGAGTAGAGAGTGTATCTACACAACGCGGAGAATAAACGTTTGTGCAAGCCATCTCAAGAACGATACGTAGCAATGCTGCCAGAATATCAAATTGAAATTTAGTCTAGTAAAACTCCGTGATGATTTCCTGGAATGTTCCTAGACAATTTAAAAAATGACGCGGATGTGCAAGCATAAGGAGGGATTTCACTACACTTGTATGTTCTGAACTTGAATTCACACCATCATTCTATTATAGAACTTCTGAGCTAAATTTTTCCGTGGATCGTTTTGTCAAACCTCTAAGTTTCTGAGCATTGTAAGAGAAAGCGATTACAGGTGCGGAGAGCAAGAATCCTTTCCATGAAGACATCGACTTGTTCCCTGATAAACTCAAAAAACAAAAATGACGGAAGGTCACGATTGTGACCATACGCAGTGGCCGTCAAGGGCAGTTAAACTAATCGGTGATAGGGCATCTCGAGCGATTGAGTGATAACAAAGATTCTACTTATAGCTAATAAGACACTACTACAGCAGAAAGAGGCGAAGCTGAATAAAAGAACCCATTGTTGACCATTCCAAAAATTTGACCCTTTCAAGCAGTTGTGGTACTGGCACACAGACATTGTTAACTTTTCTCAAATCTTAAAAAAAAAGAACCACCTTGAAAGTATTCATTGAACTCTGGTTTTCTAAACAATGATTTCAAGCGTGCACAAAGAATATATAGCTACACTTATCCATACTCATTGACAAACAAACGATGAACGCTAGAATTGTAGTTTTTATGAGGAGAATAATGTTCAAGCAATCGTTTCTCATCATGTTTGATAGGAAGCAGTGCTCGTTCAGACCGTTGCGATCACATTTGAAAGCTTTGAAATGACAGTGGATGTGGGAAGCAAAGTCCTGAACCCTGATTCACTAAACGAAACTAGTTCGAAATTTAACCTTAACTGTTAGTTTTTTATATAGATGAGGTTGAAAATCAGCTCCAAATGAAGATTCCTAGCATTGTTGTTCGTGAAAAATGCCGTTAAGAGTGGTGTTAGCAGTGGTCAGTACACAATCCTTTCGATCTCTCTAGGCCACGAAGTGATAATAGCTTTTGGAAAAGATGATTGTGAAGCGGATTTTGACGTACTTGTAAAAGAACTTTGCATTGTAATGACATTGATGGTAGATCTAGAAAATCCCGAATATTGTTATACCCATTCAAGGATGATATTTATTGGGAGTACCTATGTTATTAAAGACCACAAGCAAGAAACCAGAACCTTGCTGTTTGATGCACAAGTTCCAGCTTTCGAATATTTTCGTAGCCATTCTTTCCTTTGTTGCCACAGACTTCCATCCAACTGGCGACCAATGTGCTAGTCATAAACGTTGTTGGTTGTTGACCAGGAAAACACCAAAGATTATGCCTCCATTTTTGGAAGAGTGTCACCCTATGCTCGTCAGCTTACTACTTGAAAAAAAAACGATAAATTAGATCTCTGTTACTAGTCAGTTCAAAAGCAATGGATACGATTGCACCGGAGAAGTAGATTACATATTTCGAAGAAAAGATGTTTGCACACAGAACTACCCTAGTTATCAGGGAAAAAAAACAAAGAAAAATTCTGAAATTCTCATTCGCTGAATCCTTTCTCAGACAGTCGAAAGGATACCTCCGGAGCGAAAACGGAAAGGTCCCGGACTCTGCCCAGCGGAGGTTTGCCACTCGTGCTCCGGGGCCCTCCCACTTCACCCATTTTGGTGTTTTGCGGCTCCTCCAAATCTGGCGCACCTCCGGAGCAGAGGTTTGCGAGCTTCGGGGAGGGGTCCCATTCGCCTTCTTGTGACGTCAGAACTGACTGAAGCATGTGCTCAGACATATCGAGCATATTACATGGATTAGCACAGAAATATGTTCTCGAAGTATTTGTAATGACTTGTTATATATCAAAGCTTGATTCATTTTCAGGTCTGCGCAAAAAGGTGAGTTGTAAAGTACAAAAAGTTAATACAATGAAGCTTCAGAAATGCACGATTTCCTCAAATTTCAGTAAGAAGAAGGATAAAACTTGCGCGTTTTTCAGAAACCGGCCAACGTTGAGTTTTACGTTTCACAAAAAGGAAGCCGTGCACTGACCAAATCAAACACATCGAAATGGAACTGCAAGTAAAGTCTAGCTAGAGCTTGACTTGAGATAAGCCATAAAATTGTAAGCTGAAGACAAATCGAAATTTGGCGTTTCCGAGAAGCCGATATCACTCGGGTAGGGAGATAATGTAAGCTGCTAACACGATTTTCATAAGCAAATGTTGTCAGGTTCAAAAAATAAAACCATGGTTTTTCCATATCTTTGCAAAATCCAACGGGTGACTTGATTATAAAGCCGCAATCAAATTTGTAGCTAGCAAATCCTCTTATGAATTGCCGTGGATGTAAATCTCAAACAACTGGACAGATTTTAGCAAAACTCAAAGAGAAAATGCACGCAGTCGCAAAATTTGTGGGTGCCAACTTAATAATTTATAAGTAGAGAAATCAATAACAAGCTTGAACTGGAGAAATCTTACTTTTCAGCTGTTTAGCTCACTGTATCCTCCCATATAATATAGTACTTATAGACAGCCAAGATTAGATTTTGATATAGTATCATGATTCGAATACTGTGCATCGCCGAAGGTCAATATATGCGCAGAAGACACACTCTTCATTGAAAAATAGCGCATTTGTGACGTAATCGAAGAAATATGTAACTCTTTTCGAATGACATGTAGCAAGAAGAAAAAAGCCGGAAATGGCAGTAGGCGGGGGTGAAAAATCTCAAAAAATTGCATGTATGAAGTACACGAAAACATTTGCACCAAGTGCTAGGACGCAGTGGCTGATTTTTTTGCCGCAGCTCCGTGTCATTCTTGCTTGCCTCGTCCCCGGTCAGAGATTCTTCTGACCGAAGGTCGTCTCGCTACTGCGCATCGCCGCTTATCAGTCATCTGTTCACCGCTGACCGCTGCCAATTGCACTTGCTGTTTTTTTATCCGACTCTGCTCGTTCATTTCTGCAAATGAATGGCTACGGCTTCGCTATCGATCGTGGCGGCACATTCACCGATGTCTGTGTATTCAAACCCGATGGCAGCACTCGGGTGCTCAAGGCAAGTCTAGCAAAAGCGATTTAATAATGAAAGGATCAAAAGCCATAAACTTGAGCCGTGGTTCGACTGGATTTTTTTGCCATGCTATTGTACATCATTGCATTTTTTCTCGGAAATTTTCTGGCCCGAAATACGTCCAATTCAGATTTTGGCGCGCCTTTTAGTTTACTGTGGTCATTCTTAAATTCTTAAAATCTTAAAGACGAGTTTGACTGCGGGTCTTTGCGCACGCAGGCATTATAAACCATTGCAAAAGGAGAAATACCCATACAAACAGATACCGCCTCCTCAGTTCAATCACTTCCAGTGTCTAAATACCATCGTATATAGCAATAAAACCATTCGCGCAGAAATAGAAATCAAGGAAATGTGCCTTCCGGAAGTGCGTGCGTGTTGCGCGCGGTCGCGCCATTGTCACGGTTTTTCGAAGGCCTTATATCTACATCAGTCCAGCAAATATTGGTTTATCTATGATTTCTTTGACTTTTTTCATTGGGTTGCAACACAATTGATGTAGCTTTTCACTCTCTACTTGAAGTGCTTGGTACGTTTGCTTAAAAATCGTTAAAAAACATGAAGTTCGTAATTATTCCTTTTACTTTCTCAAATAAATCAGTTTTACAGCCATGCTCTCTTGAAGCAGATATTGTGAATGGACAGGATAAGGCTAAAAGATTTTTGATAGTAAACTGTTTGAAATTCGCTCTGACCTTCTTGTCGCAAATATAAGGTTAGAACATGAGTCTTGAACCAGAATATCTTGAAAACCCGTAAGTATCTCCAGATCCAATGGATTCGTTTGACGTAATATGAGATGGAGGCAAGAGATTAGGCGCTTTCCAGTAATAATTGAAGCAAAAAATTTTGTCATATCGCAGCGATGGAAGCTATTCGAACAATCCATTTTTTTTTGAATTCTCACTACAGAAGAGAGGTCCAACGATTTCAAATGTTTATACTTAGGTTTTACGACCTGCTCTTTTTTAAACAAGACAAGTTGTTAACGACTGAAATGTTACGAATATGATTACGATTTTCCTTTTGACGACTTCTGATTGAGTTCAAAATGAAATTTCTGTTGTAAATGGGGAACTGCTACAATGTTTGTAATAAACTAGGACACATATCCGACACAAAAACAATACAAAATTAAAAGAACCACTCAAACACTTTTAACTGAGTTTTTTGAAATTTTTGTTGCAGGACTTGTGCTCCGATCTTGTATGTGTCATATCAAATATCAGTAAATACAACTTCTAAAAACTTCTATAAAAGTAACATATCAGAACCTGCAAACTTATTTCCTTCGACATTCAACTATCCCTCACCATATTCTAACTAAAATGGAGACCTGTCTTGTTCGCTGTAAGGGATAAGTAATTAGGTTGGAAACTAAGTTTTGCAACATGGCGCGCTCAAATTTTGCCATTGCGTTGGTTATGACTCAAGCTACAGAAAAACTTCTGCCAAATTCTGACTTTGCAGTGGGCGTTACGGTATCTAAATAGTTTAAGGGAGGAAATTATAAAATTTGTCGGATTTGACTGAAACTTGGCATAGTGGGGTTATCCGACAAGCTGATCACGAAAACGATACTAAAGTTGCATAATGAGGACTTTTTTTGCAAGATTATAAAATTACGATATAGTTCCTTGTTTAGGGTGATATCTCACCCTAAGCAAGGAGAAAGGGTTAGTTTCACAACTGAATATGATATTCGTGTTTGGCGGCTCAAATAAGCTAACCCGGAGGTCTCGGCGAGTTTTTGATTTTAAGAATTGTTAGTCATTGACGGTTGTTCGTACAGCGGACTCATTCGGCTTTGTGATTGCGCCAGAACTCGACATGCTAATAAACTTTATTTTTTTCTTACTGGGCCGAATGAGTCAACCTCTAGCAATAAATCTTACACAATTTCGTATTATTGCGCAAGTTTAGGCCGCTAACGGCCATTTTGGTTTATAGCCACAAAACATCTCAAAATTTATTAGTTTTGGAAAAATGCCTGGTTTTTTTTCTAATTCGTGTCCAAAATCCAAACAACATGCGCAATTGTAGCACACGTTGCGCCCTATATATTGCCGAAGTTTGATTGCGCTACATCCAAAGAGAGTAAAGTCATGAAAGAAGTTGCAGAACTCAGTTTTCCAGCCTAATAAGAGTTCCACAAGCAGAAGAGAGGTATTGCAGATTACTGAGTTCTTGTGTGCAGAGCATTTTCACAGAAGTGACCCTAGGTTGCAGTCTTTTGTACACAAAACTTCAATTGAGCCTCCGAACTAGATCCTTAAGAATTGTTCAAAATGACCAGTGCACATTTAGCCTAAATGCGTACTGTTCTAGGTATTATCAGAAGATCCTGCCAATTATCGCGACGCTCCAACCGAGGCTATCCGCCAAGTTTTAGAGCATGAAACAGGCAAAACAATACCACGAGGAACACCCGTGCCGACAAGTAGGCATAATTTTTTAAGCAATGTTCCATTTGTTTTTTTTTGTTTGCCGAAACTTCTCACCTTTGTTCAAAGAATAAGCTGTCGCGATAATTACTTGAAATTTGCTCTTTTATGTACCTACCAGTGGCGGTCCCAGGATTTCGGACCGGCGTGGGGGGGGGGGGGACGACAAAAAATGTTTTCCAGTGAAGGTGTGTGGCGTCAGCCACGCACTCCAAAGAATTTTTTGGGTTGCTTCTCAAAGTTCGGGTCCCCAACCCCTAATATCTGGAAACTTTCGTGCGGAGGATCTTCTTTACAAAATCAATTATCAGAAGTTTTTCACAACTCAGTAGTTACATTTATGTCTGTGTTGATGTACAACACCGCTCACAAACTGCTCAAAACTATGTAAATGTCACGGATTTCTGAGAATCTTCCCACCGTTTCGCGAAATTCCGTGAAAATCTGCGAAATTCCGTGAAAATCTGCGAAATTCCGTGAAAATCTGCGAAATTCCTGGAGTTTCCAAAATCTGCGACATTTGAGAATTTGAAGTTCTGTGAGCATTATTGATTATGGTTTTGCTCTCACTTAGTAGATCACTCTTGTACACCGCAAAACGATCCCGTTTTAAATGGGAACCTCAATCGTGAGGTTGAGAAACGAACCCTGAAATTGTTTTGATCTTCCAGTGTATCCGTGCTGTGGTAGAAATATGCTTGACTTAGGTGCATATCAATACAAAGCATTGCAGAGAACATTTCATGGATTCGCATGGGGACCACGGTAGCGACGAACGCTTTACTGGAAAGAAAAGGAGAACGCATAGCTTTGCTCATAACAAAGGGATTCAAGGATCTTCTCTTTATCGGCAACCAAACTCGTCCAAAAATTTTTGACTTCGACATCAAAATCCCAGGGGTTCTGAATGCTAGAAACATTCGTCGTTTCTCATTAGCGGGTTTATAGGCACTTTATGAAGAGGTCATAGAAGTCAATGAAAGAGTCATTCCATTCGATGAAAGCTGCAAGATTAAAGACCTAGGGGAGGTGAAGGAAACGAGTCTTGGAAAGAAGGTACATTATGAACGACAAATTTTCGAGCAGAAACAAGAATCTAAAGATCCTCTGATTCTTTTCAGGTTATTGTGGAGAAAGAGCCAGATATAGAAGAGGTAACCAAAAGTCTAGAAAAGGTGGCATCAAAGGGGATCAAAAGCATCGCTGTTGTTTTTCTACACTCTTTTATGTGAGTCTTTGTACATTTTGCTAATTTAGCCCAATTGTCTGCTTTCCAGTTATCCGCCACATGAACTTCTTGTGAAGCAAATAGCCGAGAAACTGGGTTTTTCAAGCATTTCTCTGTCGCATGAGGTGATGCCAATGATAAAAATCGTCCCACGCGGATTCACTGGTAAATCTAAAAAAATCACTCTTTGGACAATCTGCATAAAATACGTTTCAGTATGTGCTGATGCCTACCTCACTCCAAAAATCAAGGAATACATTGGCGGATTTGAATCCGGGTTCTCCGACGGCCTCAAAAGTGTGAGAGTGGATTTTATGCAGTCCGATGGAGGACTTTGCAATGTTAACAGGTAGTCAAAAAGTATTTTACCCGTAGATTGAACGGCATAGCTCTCTCTCTTTTTAGTTTCTTTGGCTCAAAGGCTATCCTTTCCGGTCCTGCAGGTGGTGTGATAGGTGTGGCCCTCACAGCTTACGATCCTACAACGAAGAGACCTGTGATTGGCTTTGATATGGGAGGAACTTCGACTGATGTGAGATTTTCATAACAGAGCAAAATTGAAATGCAAATAGAAATTGTACTGTTCGCAGAAAACTGTCAGATAGATGGAAACAACCTCAAAGTCTTTTTTCTGAGCGCTATTAAGTTCTCGAAAGAAAACTCACATCGATTACTCAGAGTGCGGATAAGTTTGCGAAGAAGTTGAAATTTGTCTAATTTCCATTTGACAAACAAATCGCTTGTACAAATTTGTACCTTTACTTTGAGATTTTCCTAATGTATTCTTGAGCAGGTGCTAGACTTCTCCAGGCCGCGCAAAAACAAAACTCGAGAAAAGAGGAAAATTACTAAAATTGTTTGGTTGAACTCTGAGGTAGAAATTGATTTGTTGAACATTAGCAAGCAGAAAAAGCTCAAATCCTGGGCCTTAGAGACTTTGTCTTTTAGGTTTGCCGATATTCCGGAGCGCTTGAGCACGTTATGGAAACCACAACGGCTGGAGTCACCATCCAGGCTCCTCAGGTACAGTTTTCAGCTCTAATTATCATCTAACAACATAAATTCAATTATGTCAGAAATCAACTCAAAACTGCCGAAAGATCTCCTCTGGGAGTTCTCCCCAAACTAAATTTCTGAACTATCATGAAATTAATACATCACTTATAAGCGATGTCATAATCATAGACTGTTGAATGAGCATGCCTCCTCTGCTGCTATGCTATTTTCACCGAAGAAGCAAATTTTATCCAAATGGACTTATTTACTAGCAAAAGTTCAAGCGAGCATTAACTATACATTCCAGATCAAAGTTGAATTATAATGCAAGCAACGACCCGTGTGAATTTGCTTGTAACACGAGGAGACTTGAGCAGATTGCCCGCTTGCTTGGACTGCTAAAAATCACAATCAAATATCAGCATGTTTTCCAAGATAAACTCAGCAAATTCTTCAGTACCAAACATTTATGAAACCTTTTCGCTTGCGCAGGATGCAAATTCTGCTGGAAGTTTCTGTCAATTATGTGTTACTTGTCGTTGCTTAGCTATATGGCTCTCCCCGCTATACATAATAGTTCTAGATTGTAGACAATTTTGTGCATTTCATGAAAAATACGAAACTGGATATCTGATATATATTTTCGAGGAAAACACATCTTCTTGTACCAAGGGTTACTGGGAGAAGTGTGCAGAATTGCAAGAAAAGTAGGATGCAGGAAGAAGGCATGAGCCATATTCTCTTGTTCAGTTAGACATCAACACAGTAGCTGCTGGAGGTGGATCGCGACTGTTCTTTGCCAACGGAATTTTCGCAGTGGGCCCAGAAAGTGTCGGTGCTCATCCAGGGCCTGTTTGCTACAGAAAAGGAGGGTGGGTTTAAAAAGAGTTGAGACTGAAACAGGAAGTCGAGATGACACAGTAATACTGTTCATACCTCAGACAACTGTCGATTACGGATGCTAACCTTGTGCTCGGACGCATTCTCCCAGCATATTTCCCCAAAATATTTGGTCCTAACTGTGACCAAAGCTTAGATAGGTCAGTGTCAGCTTCAGAATTTAGCTTACCATCAAAAACCTTAAGCCTCCCGTTTTAGTGAAGCGTCCTATTCTGCCATGAAGAAGCTGACGGATGAAATCAATGATTATGTACGGAACCATCCAGATGCAGCACAAAAGGAATACTCTGTTGAAGAGGTTAGAATCTGCCTTATTCATGCAAAGCAGTTAGGAAAGAAGTGTGATTAGGTCGCTTTGGGTTTTGTGACAGTTGCGAACGAAGAGATGTGCCGACCAATTCGGACTTTAACCCAGGTAAGTACGTGCTGCTACCACTTACCGTACCCTCCCACCCAAAATAGTATCAAGTATGTTCAGTGCTTTTATCACGTCTGATTATGAGCATTTTAGGCTCGAGGCTTCGACACCTCAGCGCACGTGCTCGCTTGCTTTGGAGGAGCTGGTGGGCAGCATGCTTGTGCAGTGGCTCAACTTTTAGGCAAGCATTATTTTTGATTTTGTTGGGGAGCAGCGATATCTTCGGAATGCGACAAAACTTGAAAAATCGACCAGCTCAACACAGTACTTTTGTGTTTATGAATATCACTACGTTGGTGTGTACCCGCATTACAGTAACATCCAAAAACTTGCCTCAAGTTATGAAGAAATTCATCATTATGAAAAGAAGTTGATAGCTCTGATCATTAAAGGCAGTGGATCGGCAGAATGGGGCCTTATCGGATTTGGGTGGATTTAGGTAGTAGACCCCACCCTCCCCCAAGTACACTGTAGCCCAAACCCGCCCCCCCTGCCAAATCATGCGCTAAGTCCTGAAAACGCGCTTCAAAACTCCACCAGCCCCGCCCCTCTCCAATGAGTGGGCGGGGCTGGTGGAGTTTTGAAGCATTTTCCAGGACTTAGCGCAAGAAATGGCAGATGGGGTTTGGGCTACAGTGTATTTGGGAGGTCTACTACCTAAATCCACCAAAATCCGAGAAGGCCTATTCTGCTGATCCACTGCCTTTAATGAACTTCAAGTTTTTACTTACAGACCAGTTGTTAGTATATCATCCAGCAAATCTTCGTCGTCAGATACCAAACTCATTATGGTCAGCGTTGTTACGTTCACCCGTCCACAATGATTCCTATTCAGTCTCAAAAAGAATAATCTTTAAAAACCGAACCTAAACCAGAATTTACAATTTTTGCTAAACTTGTAACGGTTTCTACTGCAGCATAATATTCAAGACAAAAAGGTACCCCAAATACAATATATAGAATGGATAAGGTTAGGTTGGCAACAGCAATAATCACACAAGATCTATTCGAAACGCTTGTCACACATCCTCCGAAAACTCAAACACCATCTCAACTCGTAAAGCAGAATAGGTGCTAAAAGCTACCCAAAGGATTAAAAATTCGGCCTCCCTAATACCCACTAAGCGCGAGCCTCAAACGCATACTACTTTGTAGTCGAGGAGGCTACTGAATACGTGCAGGTCTTTTTAGGAAGCCCGAACAAGTCAATGCTTTCGTCCTCCCAAATTACTCTAACAACAATCTAATGTTCCCGGGGTGGGGGTTAGGTGGCCCAGAGACGGGAACGAACTTGGTCCGACCTCGTCATAGTAGCGCCTCATATCACTACACCACTCATCCCGCGTAAACCCCACTGCAAGAAACAGTTATGGATGGGATGGAATTTCATAGCAATTCTGTAAAGAACTGTAATCATACCCTCTACGAACTGCCTGTAACTATCTGCTTTCTGACCGCAGTAGCTCTATGGAACTCTCATCAAGGGCAGTATGATCAAATTTACGAATTTTGAAAAAAGCTTGTGAATATAAATGTGCACCGGTAAAAATTATCTTTAGCACAAAATAATCTCCGCGACCAGGGTCCTATTTTCCCGCGGAAGCGAGGGAGTAGGCGCTACAAAACGGGCTAGGAAAATGACTTCTCAGATTTCTTACAAGCCTCCATTCTAAATACAAAAAAAGGAGCGCGGTCGTAGCTACATTTTAAAAAAATTTTTTCATACATGCTCGAAGGCTCAGAAGTTTTGCGACATTTTTCGAGACCTTTTGTTCACAATGCGTAACAATACATTTCAACACAGTTTTTCACCAAATTTTTTCTAATAAACGTTGAAGAGCCCGCTATCTTATATCTGTGCGGAGCAATAGCTTATAAAAAAACAGAAAAAACATGTGATACCCCCCCCCCCCCCCAATGTAAAGATTCTTATTGTTCTCTTTATTTGCTATTTACCCAGGGCACAGGGCGGCTTATAAGCGAGCTGGATACCGTTTTGGGACAAATAGCAAAAAGGGTGTCGTTTTTGAGGCCGGAAAGACACAAAGATTGCGAAGTTTTTTTTGTCGACGTTTCGTTTTTAATGGTTTTTTTACGCGTAGGGTATGAAGTCAAAGGGGACTTCGTAAAAATTCGCGAAAGCCAAAGGGGACTTCGTTTTTTTTGCATTTTCCAAACACCACCTGGTGGTGATTTCGAGCTCAACGAGCAAATTCAAAGCTTTGATTCTTGTTTGAAACGGTCTGTCCTTCAGGTATTCGGCATGTGTTTATACACAAGTACTCCAGCTTATTATCAGCTTATGGAATAGCATTGGCCAAAGTGGTAAATGAAGCGCAAGAGCCAGCAAATATTGTATTCTCAAGAGGTAAGTCAGAACGGTTGGCCATATCACCCTCAACTTAAATCTCTTCTAGAAACCATGCCAGTGATAGCTGACAGATTTTCGGTCCTTTCTCAGAAGGCCGCTAGCGAACTTCAGGGTCAAGGCTTCGCTGAAGTCCATTGTGATTACTTTCTGCACATGAGGTTCGCTAGGACTGATTGTGCCATCATGATCACAGCCGACTACGATCCAAAAGTCAGATCGATTTTCCCGAGTTTGAAGTATGGAGAAATGCTTTTCTTGACAGAAAATGGACTCGTTGATGAGCTTTGTGGAAGCCTTCAACACTACGTATAAACGGGAGTTTGGCTTCATTCTGAAAGATCGCGATATCATCATCGATGACTTTCGGTGCGTCCATGAAAATGGAAAATGGCCATAAAACACCCAGCAAGCTGTTCCAGGGTTCGAGCTGTGGCTTCATCTGGGCTCGAGCACAGTGAGAGCATAGCTGCTGCTGATGATCCTGAGCATCCAAAAGCCGTAGAAACTACCAAGACATTTTTTGAGGTAAGCTTTTTCTTTTCACCTCTTCTCAGAGGTTCATCACAATAATATCTTGACAACTTCACTTCTTTCATACTTAGTCTATTTTTGTCCAAAAGGCAGCGTTTTGAAAGAGTCATTTCGAAAATATGTATGGTTTGGTATTTTGCCATTGCGATGCAGGCGACGCTTTTGCGGAAATAAGCTGCCATGCTTGTCATGCGTGTCACCACGCGTAAAAAATGCCCAAACTATATTGAGCACACATATTCAAAGTTTTTGCCTTATGGCCATTCTTGATGCGCAGAGCCGTAGTTGGCATCGCTAGGACACAAGTCTTCGAATTTTCTAGTATCTAGGAATTCGCTAAGGGTCAGGTGAAGTGCTGGTTGACTAGGAATGGTATAAATTTCGTGTGTTGTATGTAGTATGTTCTATAGCTAAATTTTGAGCTAATTTTACGGCATTTATGCGGTATGAGATTGAGTATAAATGGGTGCCGGTATGAGATTTTCCCCGGAGGGGACAGCGTTTACCATGCTCTTTGGAAGATTTTTGGGATGCTTTCCTACATTCTCAAGAGCCCATAACAGACAACGAAAAAATTGGTTTACAGGGCTAGTCCGAATTTTTGAAAATCTCCAATTTTCTTTCAAATTCGTTTCAATCATTCACAAATAAAAACAAGTCACATTTTGCGCAGTCTCATTCATGTAGGCATCTTTTAAGAACCCCGACCCCATCTCCCTCTCCCTCTCGCTTCACTGCTGAAGTGGGAATGTAATTGTAACGTAAATGGGTATCCCCGAGATGGCAGAACATCATTTCAGTCAGTAAAAGTAGAAATGCCCATTTACCAGAACCTACTCCAAGGCAAAGTCTTATTCTAGGGCGGTTTCCTTGAGACTAAAGTGTATGACAAGCAGAATCTTTTGGGTGGCCATGTTATCCGTGGACCGGCTATGATTTTGGATAAGAACAGGTAGTCTTGCAAGGTCTCAAACTCTGTACAACCTTTGACCGGCTTTCTTGCAGTACGATAGTGGTGGAGCCATCTTGCACTGCAACAATCACTAACGAAGGTGACATCAAGCTCGAAGTGAGCAGTAAAAGAGAGGAATCTCTGAGCTTGCAGGTATGCAGATAAACTTTGACCCGGAAATGAAATGTAGTTTAGATTGAGTTTTAGGTCGATCCCATCCGACTATCTATATTTTCGAATCGATTTATGTCCATCGCCGAGCAAATGGGTCGTGTTTTGCAACGCACTGCCATATCAACAAACATCAAAGTTTGTTATTCTACGTTTTTTTGAGAGAGAAAGATATCTTATGTTTTACGAAACTCTCACATCTAGGAGCTATTGAAATTGCTACACACCCTCAAATATTATAAGCAGAATGTGTATGACGCACAAAAAAATTCCGAAAGAATGTTGCGATGGTGCAAAATATTTTTTTCTTCTTCATCATATTTCGCTTGGAACTTGATATTCGCACCGGCCAAACTTTGGGCTACTAAAGGTTTTATAAAACGGAAAGCACCAATTCGTTTGTTGGCGGCAAATTCTACAATGTCAAAAACACATGTAAACAGCAGAGTACCTTCTTTGAGGCATGTTCAGATAAATTAAGGTATTTAGACTTCGCGTAGGTCCCGGTCAGGACGTAAGTTTCTGCACGCCTGATTCAGTTGAATCGGTCCGGAAAATTCAACTCCTCTAAATTTTTCCCCACTATTTAGCTTGAGAACATTGAAATCAGAAAGGGTACGGTATTGGGCGAAGGTTTGGACCTAAATTTCTGAACGCGACTGAGTCGAATGAGCTGCTGTTTGAACATCAGTCAAGCCGCTAATTGAATCCCATCTGAGAAACATAGATATTCTAGCATACCTGACATCGCCTGATTACGAAAATTACCTAGTAAGAGATGTAGCTGCCAATAAATAGACCTGTAACATTTGTAGTTCTCACAAGGAAGATTTTATTCGTTTTATAGGAGCGTCTTGACTTTTCTTGTGCTTTGTTTGACCCTGATGGCGGATTGATTGCCAACGCCCCTCATATTCCAGTCCACTTAGGTAGGTCAAACTTTTTGGAGCTCCATTCTAACATCAAGTTTACAGGTGGCATGCAGTACACTGTTCGATTCCAAATAGATCATCTCGGCATGGACGGCATTCATGAGGGAGATGTCCTTTTGGCAAATCATCCCAGAGCTGGAGGAAGTCACTTACCCGATCTCACAGTTATCACACCAGTAAGTTCACGAATATCTGGTTTTAAAGCTCTTTGATTAAAACCAACCGACACTCTTTTCTAGGTATTCTTCGAAAAAATAACAAAACCCGTGTTTTTCTTAGCCAACCGTGGGCATCATGCTGACATCGGTGGTCTTGTACCTGGAAGCATGCCTCCCAACGCAACCGCTCTAGAACAGGTAAGGGGTTTATTACCTTTCCTAGAAAATAACATTTTTGTTCAGGAAGGTGCAGCGTTCATCTCTTTCAAAGTCGTGGACAAAGGCGTATTTCAAGAAGATGCCCTTATCGAAAGGCTGATGGCTCCCAAAGCTGTTCCTGGTAGGTTTTTCAGTAATTCCCGCAAGACTGGCTGAAATAAATGCTGTCAGGTTGCTCCGGTACTCGTAATCTGGCCGATAACATTGCGGATATCAAAGCGCAGATAGCTGCTAACAATAAGGTACTTCATAGATCTTTCCTTGCTGAGTGACCTTTCTTTTTGGGATGATAGATGATTGATTTGAGGGAATTCTCTCTTAGTGAGGTAAAATGAGAAATGAAGCTTAATAGCGATGTTTAGGGGATCTCATTGGTGTGTGATCTAATAAAGGAGTACAGCCTCGAAACTGTGCAAGCCTACATGCAACATATTCAATCAACAGCTGAGGAAAGTGTGAGGAATATGCTTAGGGAGGTAAGATAAGATTATCAACAAATGACCCAGGTTTTCGCTTTGTTAAAAATGCTACCTTACTTATATGGCCTCTCAAATCACTTTTCGAGAAAAAAATACTGTATATGAATTCGAGGCTGATCAGTCTTAAAAGTGGACGTATTGCTTTCAAATGTAAAGCATTATTGCTGGTGTCGTGTCCCATTCCAATTTTTGTTCAAAATTAACTCCAGACCTGCCGTCTTTTTTTCAAATGGCTAAACAATCATCTCTTACTAACGCCCAAGCGAATCCCGTTTGCTAGGATTCAAAAAATCAAAAAATTGTTCGAATGTAAGAAGATAATTATTTGGGCAAACCATTGAAAATCTGTCTTTAGGTTGGCAAACGTGTGCTCGAGCAAACTGGTAGCACTCGTCTCCAAGCTGGCGACAAAATGGACGATGGAACAAAAATACAGCTAACGGTCAACATTGATGTTGAAAAGGCAAGGATAATTTTAGTCCAACTTTTTACCACAAAAAGTGGAACAAGACTTTGCTCAATATGTGCCCAAACTGTAGTTACGTAAAATAAAGCATTCAATAAATCTTATGCCGAAATCTTATGCTCATATTAGCTGACTAGTAGTTGATTAAAGAGTTCACCTGTCTCTTACACTTCCAAGCTTTTTCGTTGGTTTGGTTCACTTAGTATGAACGTAAAATTTTGACTGATTACTCAAGTTTCGTGACCGTTGGTCTGAATTAGAGATCTAGCTTCTTAGGCTGAACGATAAACAACCGGCATCAAAGGTTGGGTAGATTCCAATCCGTCAGATTACTAACAAATGTTGTAAGGCACACATTCAAGATCAATCATAAATGGGCCCTATGCTTCCAACCCATCTTTGGCTCATCTGATGACGACATTGTTTTTAGGGCGAAGCTTTGTTTGACTTCGCTGGCACTGGTAGGGAAGTGATCACTTCGTGTAATTGTCCCCGAGCTGTCACCATGTCAGCTATAATCTATTGTCTCAGATGTCTCGTGGCGAAGGATATACCTCTAAATAGCGGATGTCTCACACCAATCACGGTGCGTTACTTTGCCATGGTTACATTTAATATTCCAGAGGTGGAAGGTCAGAGATAGCTGTTCAGATCTCGATACCGGAAGGGACACTTTTGTCACCTTCCGAAACTGCCGCAGTGGTTGGCGGAAATGTGTTGACCAGTCAAAGGCTCTGCGATGTGATCCTGGGAGCTTTCGAAGCGGTGGCAGCTAGTCAGGGTCAGTCATTTTTACCCGTGATGACACCCCCTCCAAAAAAAACACAGTGAAACATTTCTAGGGTGCATGAACAATGTCACATTTGGTGATGAGACCATGGGTTACTACGAAACGATTGCTGGAGGAGCCGGAGCTGGCGAAGGTTTTGCCGGAAGAAGTGGAGTGCATACTCACATGACAAATACGAGAATTACTGATCCTGAAATACTGGAAAGCAGGTGAATCTTCAGTTTGACGTAGTAATTGGGTTGCACACAGACAATTTAGTCTTTGAAGCTGATAACGATGATTTCCTCTAACGGAGTAGGAGACCTTACCTTTTTAGAGCAGACACTGAAAATTAAAACTGCGAAAATTTCTGGAAATCAAATCACTACACGATTGTATAGAGTATTTAAGAGAAAAATTTGTTTCGCCTATTGGGTTTTTCGGTGATGGAAGAATTTTTGAGAGCGATATCAGTTCATCCCTTAATTTGACCACGTCAAACTTTTCCTGCGCAATCCATAGGGGTTACCTGCTTGAAAAAGATTGGAGAAGAATTCCTAAAAAATCTCAGGCACGGATCCTTCCTATAGATATTCCCGTCACTCCCTATTCCCCCATTTTTTGAGAAACCTCCAGTGGGTATAGGAGCAATGTATAAGATACGGCTTACGGCCTGCGGCGAAACGAGTGGGGGCGGGGCACCCGGACCCCCCCCCCCACCGACAATGGGTCGCGAAATTTTCATCGCTTACATGGTTATAAAAATGTGCAGGTGACTTGTTGTAAATAATTGAAATAGTTGTATATAATTAGAATAATTTCAAAAAAATTTTTATTCAATATACAGCCTCATAAGAAAATTTCGGGGCGTTCGGGGTTACAGGCCCGCGAAAATTTTGGGAAACATACCAAAGAATTTTTTGGGGTGAGAGGCTAAAGCTACGCTTCTTCACCAGAAAATTCTATTGCCGTCCCCTCTTTCTCCCCGAACGAAAATCCTAGGTACTATACTTGGGGAAATTCGAAATTTTTTTCGAATATTCGGATATCGAATATATTCGAAAATTGAAAATTTCGAATATTCGAATATCGAATAATATTCGAAAATCAGAATTCTCGAATATTCGACTATCGAATATTATCCGGAAATTGAAAATTTCAAATGTTCGACTTTCGAATATTATTCGAAAATCGGAAATTTCGAATATTCGACTTTCGAATATTATTCGAAAGTGAAAATTTCGAGTCGAATAATATTCGAATATCGAATATCATTCGTTATTCGAATTTCGAATATTATTCGGTTCTCGAATGTTATTCGATTTTCGAATATCATTCGATTTTCGAATACTGATCGAATAATTTACGTCATTGAGACTGCCTATGAAAGGGAGACGGTCAAGAGGTGCGATTTTTCCGGCTGGCACCAACTTAAAACTCCTATTTCGTGCTATGGGAGTTTCAAAAAGTACCGAACAAAGCACACTGGCTTACTAGTTGTTTGAAGTGATCATCTGATAAGTTTTAAGTTCTACGACTTTTGCCAGAAAACTGACCGGATTATTCAAAAAATTGCTATTGATTGCATTTTCATAGGTTCTGACCTTTAACAATTTTGTTTGGAATCGATTGCAATGATAAGATCGAACAATAATGCGTGTAATTATCTAATATATTTCTTTTGAAATTTCAAGTTATTTTCGAACTTTATAAAACTCTAGATATGCCTATGAAAGGCCAAAACATCTAAAAATAAAATGTTTCATGTAAGTGTTGAGAATGGACAGTTTCTTATGTTACAATTTACGATGGAAAAACGGTTTAATCGTGACGTGAAGAGACTTAGGAACCTAAAAGCTACCCCTGTGACGGTTGTGAAGAGATTTTTCGTACTTCTAAGAAGGTTATATACCCTCACTGAGTTGCGATTGGATATACAGCGGTCCCAACAGTATCCAGATCTGTAGGATGACATCAACTTAGATATGGGGCTTTTTATCGATCGCTTTTCACTGTTGTATAATTACCGTAAGATTGAAGCGTGTTTCGAAACATCAAGAGCCATTTCCCCAAGCAAAGGAATCAAAAGGGCCGAAAGTCTTGCATTAGACTTCCGAAGACACTCACTTTATGGAGAATTTGTGCTCAACCGTAATGCTTTTTTTTCGAAACTTACACCAGGTACACTGTAACAAGTGTTTTGCAACGGCTTTCAAAAATGTGATTGCTATTTGAAAAGCTTGAAAACTCGTGCGTAGTAAATTAGCATACGTTGAAACACTGCTGCACAGATTTTAGACCTTTTTTGGTGACAATTTTTTGGATGTTTATTTTGCAGTTGGTCTATATGCTGATTTCCTACCGTGATAACACACAGAAAAACATGGGTGTAATTCGCTTTCTGCTGTATTTATAAGCTGAAGCCATCCCTACTGGATGTTACCCAGAAATTGGCAAAAGACTTTGAGATAGCGATCAAACGGTGTATAAATACTTTTAAGACACCTCGTATACGCTATGCATGTCGAATTTTCGAATACTCGGTGCTTATCGAATTTTCGGATAGTCAATTCTTATTGAATTTCCGAATATTCGGTGCTCAACGAATATTCGAATATTTGATGGACATCGAATGATCGAATGAATGACCCTCGAATATTCGACTATCGAATAATATTCGAAAGTTAAGATTTTCGAATATTCGACTTTCGAATAATATTCGAAAATGAAGATTTTCGAATATTCGACTATCGAATATATTCGAAAATTGGAAATTTCGAATATTCGAGTTTCGAATTTTATTCGAAATCTCAGATTTTCGAATATTCGACTTTTCGAATCATTCGCATTCGAATTATTTATTCGAATGATCGAATAATTATTCGATTCGGTCCCAAGTATACTAGGTACGCCACCGCCCATGGCTGATTTGGAAGATTATTCCCTGCTTGCGAATCAATTTTCAAGCACAGGCACAACCACGGCGCAATGGAACGTTGCAGCAGAGTCTTAACGGGTTAGAGGATTAAATTGACAATACTGGAATTCCAGATATCCAGTCATATTGCGCGAATTCCGACTTCGAGAAAACTCAGGCGGTGCCGGCAAATGGCGTGGAGGAGATGGTGTGGTACGGTCACTGCAATTTCGAAGACCGCTCTCACTCTCTCTTCTAACAGAACGGCGGTTGGTTAAACACGATCCCTGTAATGGCGTAACAAGCAACACTGATTTTCAGAGTATTCGCTCCTTATGGACTTCATGGTGGTGAAAATGGAGCTTCTGGCGTGAATCTACTCAAAAGGAAATCTCGAACCGTAAATCTTGGTGGAAAGATCACGCTTGTCATAGAACCTGGGGTGCGTTCATTGATGATTTTATTAGTTCTATATATTGAAAGACTGTCTATATATGCGTTTGCGGTGCCGACAACATATGTGCGTGGAAGACGGCCATGGGCGCCTCAACTTGCGCTTCATGGCTTTTTCGAGCGAAAGTTGTCGGCACCGTAAGGGCACTATACTACCCTTTCCCAGCGTATGTGATCCCTTTAGGATATTCTGGAGATACAAACGCCAGGTGGAGGAGGTTATGGGAAAGATGAAGACATAAAAGCACAATGATGGAAACCATAATTCACATTTGGATTTTTGAACTACCTCTAACTGCGCAAAACATTTTGTACAGTAACGTTTCTGTTGATAGGACAAACGTCATCGGTAAGATATTGCTTTGAATGCTTTCTTAGTCGATACGAACATTTTTACCAAATGAACTTTGCAAAGTGCTTTTTACCTAACGTATCTCCAAAAAAGGAGCAGAGACTTGGTACTGTGATTCTTTCCACCTGTTGAGATAAACATTTGTATATCGATATGTCCGAATTTACCCTTTGATTTGAAAGCTATACCCATACTTGTCTGTTAAAAAAGCTCCTCTAGTGCCAACGAAAGTTGCGCATAAACAAATGTTTAAGAGGTGTAAAACTCTAAAACATGCAATTTATGATTTTCGCGCAGGAGTTGGCAGCGTGGGAAACCACATTACTATAGAATTTATTACCTCACATACTTGAAGCCCCACAAAATTTTCATTTAGAACCGTCTGCTTCCTGCGAGTTTATCTACACCTCCAGTCTTTGATGTCCTCTCCCGAGTTCTTGCCCCGCGGCCTCTTTCCTTTACGGCTTTCTCGACGCAAAATGGCCGTTCTACCATGCAGTTCCCTTGTTCCCCTTTATGCAGAAGTTAACAACTCACCTTCCAAAGAGTTGGAGACGGCTTTAAAGCCATGCAATCTGCAGCGAACAAAGAGTGAACAGCAGAGTAAAAAAGGCTAGGAAAAGAGAAAAAACAGCAATTTTCATATTATCTGAAGTCGTAGCCACGTACTCTAAAATTGTTGTGGTGAAGTACAGATTTTGCTGAAAAATTGACAAAGACGGAAGAAAAAGGAAAAACATGAGTGTGCCTCGAAAACACCTGTGCATCTATGTACACCGGAAGAAATTTCAAGTCACTCTTTACTAAAGATTTGATTTCATATTTGATGCCATTGCAGGTGACAAAGTTCAACAAAATTACATAGTACGATACCAACCAAATTTATACCTAACAGTTGCTTTTGCTGATAGTAAACCATTGTTCGTAATTTCCTAATTCGATCCTCGCGCGCTATTGCAAGATTGTTTGAAGATGATGATGTCCTAACTCTTCCTAGAATGTGAAGAGCCTAAGATGACGTGCATACATGTACAGTTCGTCTCAACCCCGAGGAGCCGAAATTGGGATGACGCGTGCGCTCCGCAGCGATTCGCGCCTTATAGCGACAGCTGCAGTATCACGTGGCGATAGCATCCGTGTCCTTGTCTCCTCATTCTACTTAATTTTTAACTCGCAAAATTAAACAGACCTATGCTAGCGTATACCGTCTATTCCCAACGGCATATCTTCAACAGACTCTTTGTAATGCCGAGCTGGAAATACTCCCCTCTCTTTGCCTACAAAAAATGTTCAGCTTGCCTCTGAATCACCCTACGATTTTGCATCTTTATACAAAATCATGAATACGATAACAATAGTACATTCTATTTTTGAAAATGCCCAACTTGTTGGTTTCCATGCGAACTTTTATTCTTGGGCCAGCTGTTTCTTCCGTTCCTCGATCTGCTTCCCTTACAATCTCACTGCAAAGAATGCCCTATCTCCGATTGATGAAATAGTCACATCACACGCTTGACCTACATTCAATGCTATAAACTTTTGTACTTGGTTCATACTGACCAAAAATAGAATGCGTTCACGCCACAAACAAAAAAACAATTTTTTATAGATTAATCAAGCGAAAGTATAACAATTCATTATATCTGATAAAAACATATGTAAAATCAATATTCAACTCGGCTAAGCGTCGATTAGATATCACATCTTTCATGAATATCCTCACCACAACTGAGTAAGTAGAGCAAGATTTGAAAAATGCTAAGAAACTAGACTAAAATGGGCAGCTGAAGCCTACTATGTACCACAGTAGATTTGTCCGTAAGATGTGTATGTGTGTGGCTGTGCTCAGAAAGGTAAAGGACCAGGCGGGTCAAAATCCGTACTGCATCAAGCTTATCAAAAAATCAAAAACATGAAGTCTGCAGATGCGAAAGGAAAGTGGGCAGGTTTTCCAAAGACACACAGCTGTCGCTGAATGTCGAGGCAGAGGCGACTATTTGGGCTCCCAAGTAGGCCGCATTGTACCTCCATGGCGAGATATGCACCTGGTAAGGAAGTAAGCATAGAAAACGAATCATATACCAAATCAAGATAATTTTCATACCTGTGTATGGATGCTGTTAGGAACGATAGCCGCCAGCTCTTGTTCGAGTTTTTCTGCCAGTCCTGGCATCAAAGATGCTCCACCAGCTAGATAAATGTTCCTGAACGAACAAAGCAATCAGAAAAAGAAGATGTCACCGCGCACTTCTATTCTTTTGTAATATGTAAATCATAACTTTCCTCCTAGAAATTCTATAAAGTAGTAATAACATTCCCCAAAACTTAAAGCATCGCAAGGAAAGAAAAAAGAAATAAACATTGGCCAACACTGATTTTCAAAAAATGTTTCACTCATGCACTTAGCGGTGGCTACAGGCATGGTTGCGTAGGGCTTAAGATCTATAGAGGGGACTTATGACTGTAAAATAACTCATTCAAAACAAATTCGCTGACATAATTGAACATTTCTCGCGAAATTTCTTCTGTATCCACTGCCAGACATGCGCAATTTCGGAATACCTTATTCTTTCAGGAGTTCCACAAGATATTACTTCAAACTACTACTTGTCATACATATCCCCGATATTGCAGATCAAGTCAAGGCATTGCAAGACACACAATGCTCTTCGGTCTTGCTTTTTTTGAGTTCATCAGTGGCGGACAGAGGGAGGAGGGGGGGGGGGGGGAAATCTAGGAAAGGTACGCGTTATAAAACCATTCAAGTTAAAATTCATGTGACCCCTATTTATTTGAATTGAACAATTTCTTGTTGAATGCTCTTCCCTTTTCTCCGTACTTTTCATATGGGAACGCTAAATTTTGGAATACATTTGAAAAGCAGAGGACATTGCTAACGCGACCTTCCTGCCCAGCTGAAAACTGTAACGCCCCCAAAAAAAAGATCCGTACTGCCACTGAAGTTCAAGGTTCGGAGTCAGGCTGACAACTTCATGCGCAAAAGTAGAATAATTCTCAGCATGATAAATACATATCTCCTCGTGCAGTGGAGAAAAGAGGTTCTCTATACCCCCATAAATTGTGTATAATTCAGAAGAACATAAAGTCAAGAGATATGAGTTTTTTGGTTCAAAAAGATCTAAGCTAGCTTTACAAAATGAAAGACAACCATCAAACATTTAGTGCAGAAACTTGTGGATAGCACACCTGTAAAGCGTCCTTCTGCTATCGATGGGACTCATCTGAACTGCCTCATGTACAAGCTGATGCAAGCCTTTCGTATCCAGACCCCATTTCTTCGGTCGGAATAAACCCTCGGTGCACAAGAAGCGCGAGTTGTCGATCTGAAGCGAGAACTTGTCTTTACGATAAACATTCTTTGAAACCGTCATAGGACATATTTCTGAAGTTGTTGCCTGGCTAACAACACTGCGTATCGGTATATTTAAATTCTGACATCAATTATAAAATTGCAGGTTTTCATGTTTGATAGGCGGTTTGAAACACGATTAGAGATCGGAAAGCCTGTAGATGCAGGCGACAGCCATTTCTGGTATTCCGGTAAACTTAGGGCAAATTCATTGAATTCATGAGATGGTCAAATTCTTCAGTCCATTTTCTCACTCTCTCTTGATTATCTAACTGCCAGAAGTTAATCCATTGACAGAATGTATGGAAATAATTCTACAATAAAAAATCGCATGAATATTCTTGCAAAAAATGCGAAAATAGTGAGCACATAATCCGAAACGTGAGATGTTTCAAGCTAGACAAAAGAATGAACCCCATTTTTTAAATATACTATAACAGAAAGGTAGGATAAGTCGCACGAGAATGGACACAACAAAAGTTCAGTAAAGGTGGTTTTTTGCAATATGCACTGCCATCCAAAGAAACGATATAAGTACAAAAACACATAAAAAGCAATGACCAGTGAAAGTATAAGAAAATGTGCAGAACTTTTCGTTACCCAATAGTCATGATATAGCTTCTTTTCAGACGGACAGAAAGAAAACATGATTTTGAGAATGCGAGCGGTGCCAAAGGCGAACATTTTCAGATAAGCGCTTATGCGCCAAACATCAGAGAAATGGGGGTGACTAATTCTGGAAGAAGATACAAAGTACAACAGAATGTGATTCTCGGGGAACCAGAAGCGAATAAACAAGGACTCGAAAAAGGCCTGGCCATGAACTGTCAGTAAATCACCGGAAAACTTACGTTAAATCGCGTGGGCATCCCAGGGACCGGATCAAACTTGTCCAATGAAACATGAACTTCTTTGGCAGTTTTCTCTTCCCGCGCATAATCCTCAGGAACGTAGCTGGTCTGAAAATCGTAGTATCGAAAAATAATGCACGTCTAACGCAATGACCACACTGAGCTAATGTTGTCTAGTCTGTAGTTTGCATACACTATGAGTACGAAAGTATCTGACACTTACTCTGCGACCGTGAACGGAGGCCTGTAATAGCGAACTCTTTTTGCTCAATATTTTTCGACACAAAGGCATAGCTAGAAGTAAAGCTCGGCTAGAAGTGAAGTTCTAACTATGAAGCGCAGCATCTAGTTGTTATATCTACCCAGAACTCAAGGTCTAGCATTCTATGCGTAGTCACACGATACGGTTGTGTTATTAGGCTACTCTAATATTTACCTGCTCCAAAACATAGCGAAGAATCAGCTTCTCTATGGGACTTTGGAAAGAGTACAGTCCTTTGTTGTTAGAGCACAAGATGGTTCTCAGAGCTTCTCGCACCTGCGTAGCTCCATAAGGGATGGAACAGATAGCTGACTCAACAACATAACCTGAAGCGAATCTTCTACTCAAACATTCGATCCTATCCAAAGCTACTCAAAAGTTCTATCTTGTCTTCAAAAAAGTAGTAGTGCAAACTGATAGAAACGCACCGTCAATAACAGGAACAATATTTAGACGATCTCCGATATCTACAACTACTCCGGTAGTGACGTCGTAGGCGTAAAGGATCAAAGACGGCTGGCGGGTTATGGCAGCTCCCTAGGTTCAAATAATAGAACCACAACAATTGCATACGCTTTTGTCGAAACCCACCTGGAACCTTGCCTCCTTCAAGACAAGAGTGAGAAGCTGTCCAATAAGAGCGATAGGAATGTTTTGGGGAATGGAGAGAAGGATCTTCGAATGATGACATCAATTTATAACAAAACAAATGATTTCACTTACCTTGTACTGTGAGGGATTTATGCCAAGGTCTTTGATAACTTTTTGCACACAAGCTTTCACTACGTCTTGATCCATGGAATACCTTTCAACTGCAGGATCCACTGCTTTTATGGGACGTACAAATTCGCCTTGATGGCGTATCTGAACACAACATCATAAAACAATGACATTAAAATTTTTTGTAAAAGGTAGACCTCAGGTGCATATGCGTCCTCGCCGACAATTATCCTTCCATCATCTGTTCGCACTGCCATGGCAGGGAAAAAAGACTGTGGAAGGCTGGGCTCGGTAGTTAATACGCCTCCGCGAATTGAACAGGACCCCAGTTCAAGAATCACAACTCGCTGAAGAAGTTTATTGTAATGATAATTTTATAACGACATGTAGATATTCACAGTCTTTGCTTGAATAGCGTGTATGTTTCAACATCGGGTTGAACCCTTAACAAGACGGAATTTTGCAAGGGTGTTCAGAAAAATAGTAATAATTTCTGGTTGTCATATCTGCATCTGTCATCCTGCTTGCGTAATATTGCGCTAAGACTCAATCCACACTCTGTCTGCGACATAAACAAAGAGTTAAGGGAGGCATCACCTATACTTCCAAAACTATAAGAAAAAACCAAACCACGGCTATCATCCGTCACCACCTGCATTACAGGTAGCGTACGAGCAAAACCCTAAGAGCTAAAAACAGGTCATATCACAAGAACATAGCGTCTTGAGCGGTACTAACTGCATTACATCATCTTCTACAGCCGCGACACTAGCCAGGATTGTAAGCGTATGTTTTCAATGGTCTGCTTGCGGAAGATATATGACTTCAGTACAGCTACCTACCTCAGTGAGATGCTGAAAAGTCTTGGGAATGGGTTTAACGTAGGCATCTATTTGTGAAGAGGCAGCATGTGATAAAAGTGAATGTCGCCATTTGTCGAACACATTCGACTGAACACTGAAATCAATCTAAGGTATTTTTTGATCAAATTACCCCCACAACGCAGAAATTTCTGTCTAGTAATCATGCATGTCTGAGAGTGTAAACACAATGACGATAGCTTACACATCATTAAGGCTATTCTGACGACAAAGTTGTAGCAAAAGAAGGAGAAACCAACACGCAAACTGTGTTAGACATGTTCCGTAAACATTCCATAACTAGAAGTTAACAAACGACATCACATCGCAACTCTCATTTTGTTGTGCGGATGTGCTGCGAGAGAGGATGAAAACAAAACAATAACAACACGCACGTCAGTAGATAAACCCGTCAGACAAACTTGTAAGAGACATCAACAGAAGATAAACAACCAAATTTGGAAGACATGCTGTCACTAGAGAGATAATGTAAACAAACATGAAAGATCAGGCGCAGAGCGAGAGTAAAACTTACCGCAGAGTCAGTTTTATGTGGTCTCGTCCTCCATGAAGATAGAAAGTTCGCTCTTCTCTGTTGGCCTCTACATCCACACCGGAAAGAACTATCTCCTCAGCAGGAGCTTCGTCCGCACAGTGTGACTGAAATAATTAACAATGACTTGTACAGACAGACACTATCAATGCTCCGTAAGCTCAGGCAACTTTTTGGAAAGGTGAGAACTACAAAGCCTTTCAACTTATGGAGTTGAAAAACAATGTGTTTCCATTAGCATTTTTCCTTAAACAAATTACTATGTCCGTAGTTCAAAGGTCGCAAACATGGCCAGTAACAAATAGGGATACTCCAAGAAGAAAAAACTTGCTGCATTCGTATCCGAGAGCCACAGCTAAGGGTTACTTCATACTGCCGACTGACCGCGACTGACCGCAGCTGACTGCAGGTGACTGCAGCTGATTGCAGCCGCGCAGCATAAAAAGAAAGAGCGACCTCGATTACGACTAAAACACCCTGAATGACATCCAAGAAGATAACGACTTCTGATTTCACTCTTTCCAAATTTTTTTCTTATTTTTTGATGAACATGCTGCGGCGGCCGCTGCGCTCAGCGGCCAGTGCGGCAGTATGAAACAACCCTAAATCGCGCTTTTGTAGCAAACTCGGAGAAATTTGTGGGAGTGATGTAAGCAGTCGTCATAACGCACTTAGCTTCAACGGAGTGGAGTGCCAAAAATGAAAAGAGGAGCACACTATCAACCCACCACAAAAACCTGCAATCGTCCCTCCTTTGTGCGCATATATAACTGTTTCCAGTGCCTTTCCAATTCTGCGATAGTTGAAGTTTCATCACAAGGGACTTCTACATGGCCTTCCATGCTGATGAATCGATTCCGTTTCGTTTCCACTCTAGGCTCATACGAAACCTACAAAAAAGCAATTATCGTAAAATTGTAAGACGAGTCGCAAAAAAGGAATATCCTTCAATTCTCAAATAGTTTACAACAGCAAAACTGAACAAAATTCAGTTTCTATATTTGATCTGCAAAAGTAGATACTTGTAGGATGTTTCTAAAATGGATTCGCTACAAGAGAATATGCGCGAAAACTACCACAAACGTTGACATTTCAAAATCAAGGCATTCAAAAATGCTAAAATTAATCAAAAAAGGCAGTTGTAACTCTGTAAAGGCTCTTAACACACATTTGGAAGAATGTTCTTAGTCAGAAATAAAACAACAATCTTCAGAAACTCGCACTTCAGTGACCAAAAACGAAACAAAGAGAAATATGCAGCCAGATAAATGAAAAAGAAATTTCATTCACCTCGTACAAAGCTCTAACAAGAGCGCGAGGGTCCCAATTTCTTAGTACAGTATTCTCCTCGCCAACGAATTTTTCCGGTGACGGAAGGTTGCCATTGTGGATGAGCGCGTCAATGTCAGGCATCTTCAGCTTCTGCCTCGAGAAGTCCTTGTACTCGAATGTCCTCACGGGAGGCCACGTACAACGACCGCGACTGTTCCGTTCGAGAGGCACAGGCTTCTGCAAAAAGCGCCGATAACACCGCTACGCAGTAACAAAGAAAAAGAAAGAAAAGTTAGCTGCTGGCTGTGTTCGAGGACTGCGAGTTGTTGCCAAAGAATAAGTCTCAAGTAACGTACTTCCTCCTCTTGCTCCGCCTCCTTTGGAGCTGATGCAGCTGTTTGAGGCGAATGTCGTGGTGGAATAGAAGGTTTCGCTGCTGAATCCTTGAAAGCGTTGTGGTCTCTACTGCCCGAGTGAAGAACTCCCTCCTTGCGACTTCTGCAAAACCAATTTCATTAAAAAGAAATGCTCGCGTACTCAAATACTCGCACATGGCCAAGTCAATTTGGCTTGTCGTCGTAAGCCTCGCGAAGCTAGAGTGGAAGAATGACTTACGATAAAACCTCATACAGCAAAAAGTTCTTTTAAGCGTTTTCTCATAAGAAAGCGAAATGGAGACAGATCAGATAAAATGCCATGAGTTAGCCGAAGGGATATTCGACTGCCTATCTTGTTGACTGATGAACTTTTTAACCCTCTCTTACATTAGCATACACGGCACCGTCAACGTAGTATAAAATGTGAGAACACGCACAATTTACGTACGCAAAAAAAAAACGCTGAATTTCCCTCTGCCTCCGGCGTAGATCACTTGTGAATTTTCAACCCTCGATAGTACCCAACTGGACGAAATTCAACGAAGAAGGCTAAAAAACATCCGTAAAACATTCGCGTTCCTGTCACCAACAACATGAATTTCACGCGTAATAGGCATGCTGTGTGTAATAGCACATATCAGGTCATGACAATACTCGGCTATAGTCCATTCTCAAATGGAAGAAGGATAGAATCAACACATCATTTGTGCAGTCGTTCTTTCTTGAATATATATGTTCCTCTTGTAATCTTCCGAGGACTTTTTGAACAAGAAAAACAACTTCAGATCTAAGAGAAAAGTTCAAATTCTGGGTTTTATTGATCAAATTATCATAATAATAAACGGAGTGAGTAATGTGCCTTGGATCTTAGCGCATCAAAGTCCTTCCAGAATGATATTTTGAATGTAGATGTCAAGAAGCCACCCGCCAACTCATAATATACGACCTGCTGCGCTCAACATGTCCGAGATAATAAGTAGCCCTATCACTATGCTGTTTAAACCATCATAAGTTGTCCAGTCTGCAGTTGTTGGCCATCATTCACGAGTACAAAAAGACAAATGATAACGAAACAGGTGCTCATGGAATTTCAACGAAGCTTGCATGATCTAACGTTAACAAAAGGAATCCGGATGTAATCCCAAAACACTAATGTAAGGAAAATGGCAGTGAGATTCAGCCTAAAATCGTAGGAGATGAAATAATGTTAGTTAAAAAAACTTCATCAACATGGAAAATCTATATTCAAGCGCATCCTCACAAAATCTAGCTTAGCAAAGGGATTTTCTTAAATGTACTGTTCTTGTTGCTCGAACGAATGGCTAACATTCAGAAAATGATATTTGCAAATGGCCGCAGCACTATATCTGACAGCATCGAAAATTGAAGAGATGGCTAGCGAAGAAAGAGATTTTTCCACTTCAAAAACGTGAAGAAAAATAGCCCTCGAAAATTACCAGTACGTATAGGATACCGTATAAATTCTCATAACAACAATAGGCACCACGCAAACCTCACATCATTCGCCATATAAAACGAATAGCATCTCTCAAAGTTATAAATGGAATGCTTGCCTTTGAGTTTGAGGCGCACCTCCTAGTTATAGAATTCACACACACAAAAATAAGAATGAACTAGAAAGTATTTATCCCAGCACTTTTCTTCCTAGAAAAAATAAACCTCTGACTTTACAAATGGGTAAGGGTTCAAAAAGACAACAGCTTTACTTGTAGATAATAAAAATATTTTCAAAAATTTTCAAAAATTCAAATTAGCTTTGTAAGAAAATTTTTTTGAGAGCGTAGCGACAGACAAGCCTTTCCAAAATTTCGAGGTTATGAACCCAAAAATTTTGTGAAGCAACCAAGAAATTTTTTGGAGTGCAAGACTATTGCCACGCACCTTTGATCAAGAAAAAAAGGGCAGCAGGCGAAATTTGACACTTGTAATATTGCATTCCGCATAGACGATGAAGTATAGTCTACTGCATTCGGCGCAGTGTCTTATGATGAAGACAAGATTTGCCGAATATTGACACAAAGCTTGTAAGTTGCGTCTAATGGTCATTTTGTACGCGTATGTGTTGTTCATACCGCAAGAGCACAAACTACCGGTTAAATCGCACAGATTATAGTAAACTCCCCCTAGGAGTAAATCAACTTTTGGCTTGAAAGTTCGATACATTTCTGCCTTCGAAGAAGTGTCCTTTTTTCATGCTGACAACGATTATATGCAGATTTTTGCGTGACAGCCAAGCATACAATTATCATAGTCAGCTGATACATACGCAATAATCTAAAACAGCAGCAACATCCAATTGCATCAGGATTCAGCATAGCCTGATTTTTGGACCCACACAATAAGACCCATCTACGCTTCATGCCATTGTCATGGCAGGAAAAGCACTCCAGAAATATTCCAGCGCAAACAGTCGCATCTATAGACAATTTCTTTTGAGTGAACATATTTTTACGATTGGATTGAGCAAAAGAAGAGCCCTCCGTTGATGGAAGATAAGGCTGCACAACCTCACAGAGCAGTTATAGGAGGACTGGCATTGCAAACTTAAATCACAAGTGGTACTTCGCAGCAAAAAGCTACACAAATAATTAGAGAACGCTCACTGACAGATGTTTGGAGCAGTGGCTCCTCAATGACGTCGAGCACTTAATTGGTAGACCTCTTATTTCCAGCACTAATGATCATAAACTTTATGCTGTAAACAATAAGCGCCATAAGATATTCAGTAGATAAAGAAAATGTTAAAGAAAATTACAAGAAAAAGACGAACAAAGAACTGCAGAGAACTGGCTGCGCCACATTACCCTGACAGCAGATTCAAAGATAATGTGACATCCGAGAATGGAGAAGTGATCTATAAGATGTTGGCTAGTGATCTTAATGAGCTTCATAGGGCACATCAAAGTCTCCAATCCTTCATTTTGACCATTCAAATCTTTTGAGCATCAAGATTTTCATGTTTATATTTTGTCTTCTAAATATGATCTGGTAGCTGTAAGAAAAACTGCCATGTTCTTGATGGACATTGCTTGTGCGCAATGGCATGTGCTCCATGGCCATTTACGCGAAAATGTCATCGATGGTTCAAGAGCACTCATCAACAATCAAATTCACCAAGCTATATATGGAATCTATTTTTGATGTTTGTATGTAAACTAGTCATGTACTTATATTTGTGGTGTTGAGAACTGACAAGCCCAGGATTACTAGAGCACATCTGGTGAGAAATGGGATTATCAAGAACTAAACAAAAAGAAGATCTCACAATAAGCGTAGTAAATGTTACACAAGGAACACGGAGCTTTTCCATGCTACTGAAAAAAGGCTCGAGTGGTTAAATTCCTTAAGCATGGGAACAAAATTACAAATTCTGCTTCTTTCATTTTCCAACTGTTTCGAAACCCGAATGCGGCGAAAGTGAAGCGCAAACTGTTCTCCCTCATCAAAATGGAAAATTAGAGAATACTTCGCGGAACCAAAATTACGTATCTGACCGCACAAAACGGACAAAACAATTTACGTCAAACTGAGATAGAGCACGGAGAGCATTATTCTCGGGTTCCATAACCAAAAATTATGGAGATAACACCAAATTATCAAACCCGTTCTTATGAATTTGAAAACTACTATGAGCACCAATAAGCTAAAAAAGTCACCATTTGAGCAAAATAGCGGGTATACAGAAAGTGAACTTTTCGGTCTTTGTATCGCTGTAACGACAACATTAAGGGGTAAGAAACTGCTATGCGCAAAACAAGCAAATGTTTACTGCAAAACCTTAATAATAATGTCAAAAATTGTAAACTGTAAATCATCAAAAGCTTTTAATGAGCACCAATACTGAGTCGTAAATATGCTGTCTTGCTCGTATTGTCTCAGTTCCCCATTGTAATCTAGAATGACCTAAAATGTCCTAGTCCCACGCGCAGAAAAATTATGAACTTCCGGAGTTGAACTGTTGATAGACCAACTAAATCCAGTCACAAAAATCCTTCGAACATCCTTCGAACACAGCACTTATCGTCATGACGGAAAATAAGTATGGTTGTACTAATGCTAGGGATTATAATGAGGGATTAAAGATAATGCGAGTAAAAATAGCACATTCGAGTTGACATTGCTCAAAGGTACTCATCATTAATGCTCATTGGAAGTTTACTATGATTTGAATAAAAAAATATAAACAGAACTTTTTGAGAAGATTGTGTTATATGATTACAACTGACAGAGCAGCGCAACTGACAAGCACGAAAAACATTGTTCAAAAACGGAAACATTTGCAATCGCAAACCCAGCTCATAATTATACCATGCCGTTCACAAGTCGTCAAAAAAATCCGGCTTCACCGAAATACGCGTCGAATCGTCATGTCTTGATTCAGAACGACACATTCTGAGTCCAAGGGCATCGTTTGACTCAGGTCCACAAGGCGTATCTTCCGATATATAGTTGTTACCCGTTTGGATACAGTGGGCGGTTGAAATTCACGAACTTTTGGATTTTTGCTTGGGGTAGATTACCTAATGTGCCTATTTTATTGCACACTGCGCAAGCTGCCGTAAGCAAATAGATTCTGACCTCTACCTATCCAAACTTGCACTTTTATGTATATCACAGGATGCACCTCGTCGAGCTGAGTCGTACACAGTGCTTGAATTCAGAAATTCGTTTACCCTGAACCAAGGTATGGCGAAGTGACGCGGATTTCACCAAACTCCGAAAGAGTTCGGTAACTTTTCTGTGGCCGTATTCATCAACGAAACCCGTGGGTTCCGGAACCCACTGGGTTAGTGCTTTTGATGAATATCGATTCTTCCTGGAGTAGAATCGATATTCATCAAAAGCACTAACTCAGTGGGTTCCGGAACCCACGGGTTTCGTTGATGAATACGGCCACTGGTGATCTATGAGCGATATAATACTTGTAAGGCAAGAATGCTTGTTTCAGTTCTTTATTCACAGTGCCCCTGATAGAACAGGTTGCTTCAAAATCTTTGTCTTGCCATAAATTAGTCCTGATTGTAAGTCCCCGTATAGTTGAGTAAGTTTGATAATAGATGTATTATGTTGCACAGAATTTAGTAACAAGAACAAAACATC